TTTTCTTTCTTTGGACTGGCCTCTGACACACGCCAGGTATTCGACAATATTCCCCAACGGGGAGAGTTTCTCATGAGGCGTGGTTAAGCTTTTCTAGTCAAGGGGACAACTGACGATTTGGTTCGACAATTACTGTGAGATCGAATCTGTTTTAATTATTTTCTTCATTTATTGGTATTTATATGTTCCTTGATTTTAATTGCTATGGCCTAGTGTATGATTGATTAGTGCGCAATAATTAATTATTCATATAGGCTATTTTTGCTAAATAGGGGTAATTGAATCCGTAATTGTTCGTTATCTCTACCTCAGTAGCAACTGGCGTAATTGGGTTTATGTCAGGGGAGCATATGATCTAATTTAAACAAACCCTCGTAGCGTGTTTGTTGGTTAGGATTGAGCCTTTCTAATTATTAATGCAATCTAGAAATTAAATCCTACGGTCGTACCTAGGGTTATTTTTGGGTTAGAGAAATAGCTAACGGTCGTACCTTAGCTATCGAGAAATTAAGGAAGGGTTGGTTGTTTATCGCGTGCATGACAACTATAACTAATCTATTGCTAAATGTTGGAATTATTTCTGCATCAATGATCAGTGCATGAACCATTTCTGATGTGTACCCTTGGCTAGAGTTTACCCAATCATTTCTTTTAATTAATTATTTTCTGCAGTTAATTTATTTAGTTAAGCATTTAATCCAAAACCCCCCATACTTTGGACTCTAGAAGAAACAAATTATCCCCAATCCCTGTGGATTCGACCCTACTCACTACTATATACAAAATCTGTATTTTTCTCGAGTAGGTTTTTATTATTGTACAGGTTCGGCACCTGTCAATTTTTGGCGCCGTTGCCGGGGACTGGCGCTAGTTATTTGTTTCTTTTTAAGTTCATCTTGTTTTCATTTTTTTTTTTTATAGTTTATGGCTGCTAGCATTCCATATTTTGATGATAGACCGGACTTTGTTCCTGAATGGGGTTATGAGACTCATGTTTTTCCTAATGATCAATGGGCTGTTGCAAATTGTGGAACTTATTTTGACTCAGGTTATTCAACTGACACATGCCCCGCATTTCAAGACAATCTAAGTGCTCCAATTGATATTTTCGGAGATTTTCCACCCCAATATCAAATGCAGTATGACCCTTATTCAAACGGGTATGATCAAGGATGGTGGGATAATTCCAGTTTTGATTATGCAACCGGGCCAATGGATTTTCAACAGCAAGAGTCTCAACAACCATCGTCCCTGTCAGGGTACCAGCAGCAATACCAACCCCGACCACCTCCGCCCCCTCAATCTGGTTCATCTACGGAGGAGTTGCTGAAACAAATGATGACAATCATGGCGCAAAATCAGCAAAGGACGGAGGCAGTTATTATGCAAAATCAGCAAAAGACAGACTCCGAAATGCAGGACATAAGGAATCAGATAGGTCAATTGGCCACCAGAATGAACCGTTTGGAGTCCCAGAACCAAGGGAAGCTGCCATCTCAACCGGAGTTGAATCCGAAGAACGTGAGCGCAATGATCATAAGGAGTGGGAAAGAAATTCAAGGGCCTGAGCCTGTGATCCCTATGGACAAGGATGACGAGCTGCAAGATTTTCAAGAAGAGAGATGTACAGATGCAGTTGAAAAAGAAGCTGAAAATGAAAAAATGAAACCCCAACCGCAACCCATTCAAGTGAAAGAATCCAGTGGAGAATCATCAAATGTGGTGACACCACCTCCATTCCCTAACCCGCATTTTCTTAACTCTTACTCCATGATTTCTGTTAATGAGATTGATTTTGTTATACCGGAAGTTCTTGAGTCTCATGGCAGGAATGAGTTAAGAGTAGCTATGGTCAAATATCTTGAACCGTCGAAGGCTCTTGATGGAGGAGTGGATGAAGAATTGCGATCAATGCTTGATTACTTGGCGCCATCAACTAGTTCATGGAAGACCGTAGCTCGTGTGCTCAAAGATTACTCCATCTATGAGGGCTATCAGGACTATGTAGAGGATGAAGCAATGAGACGAGCCACAAGATTTTATCCTCCATGAACAAAACATGATAATGTCTAGCCAAAGACATTAAAGAAAGGCGCTCATTGGGAGGCAACCCAATTGTTTCTTTTAGTTGTTTGTTGGTTTCGTGTCTTAGTTTAAATCTATTTTCCTTGAATTTGACTGATTTTGGGTGTTAGTTTTCGTTTTTGCTGCTTTATAGGTGCCATTCAGTCATGACGCGCCCGCGTGGTGACGAGCAGGAAGCTAACGATCAGAAACTTCAAACTTCTGGGAGCTCTCTCGCCCTCATGACGTGCCCGCGTGGTGATATGCAGGAAGCTCACGACCTGAACTTCTGGGAGCTCTCTTGCCCTCTTGACGTGCCCGCGTGGTGACGTGCAGAGAGCTCACGATCAGAAACTTCTGGGAGCTCTCTTGCTCTCTTGACGTGCCCGCGTCACGTTCGTGGGAAAGGTCAGGATTCAAAAAAAAAAAAGAGAAAAAAAAAAGAAGAAAAATTTTTATTTAAAAAAGTCGAAATCAATTTTTCGAAAAAAAAAAGGGGAAATATTTCCGTGGCTCAAAGAGCCTCATAATTGGAAGAAAAGAAAAGAAACATTTTTGCCAAAAACAAAAACAAAAAAAACTATTTTTTTTTCTTTTTCTTTCTTTCTTTCTTCTTTTTCTTTCTTCCTTTCTTTTCTTTCTTTTCTTTCCTTTTCTTCTTCTTCTCTGCCGTTCCCCTGTTTTTCCCTTTTCCTTCCTGTCCTTCATTCGTCCGCCGCCGTCGCTAGCTCCTCCTCCAAGCCCGCGAGCCGCGTCTCTGTCCCTTCACCAGACGCCGCCGCCACCTGCAGCCCACAGTGACGCGCGCCGTCCATCCCGCAGCTCCGCCTCTTGTCCAACCCAACCTCCCTGGTTCCAGAATGATGTCGAGAGTCCATGGTGAAGCCACGAATGGCACCAGCTCCAGCTGTGAGTTGCCCCACAACTTCCACCTGAACCGCCCCTATTTTGATGACTTCAGGGAAGTACCGTTGCCCCTCTCATTCCTTCTGCTTTTACATTATCACATTGAGGGCAATGTGTCATTTAGGTGTGGGGGGGAGATTAGTTGGAGTGCTAGTATTTTTGTTTTTAGTTTCTAAAGGCTTTTCCTTTGTTTTAGTTTGATATTTATCTCCTTTTTCGTTTATTTTCTTTTCTTTTTTCTTTCTAGTGGTCAGTCTTCATATGAATACCAAGTTTGATGCTGGATTGTTGTCTCTAATTCTGTTATTGCCAAGTTTATTAATAAAAAGGTATCAAGTTGATGTGGTTGAGTTCAGGAACATCTCTTTGGTGAATATCAATAATTGCTTAACTTTTCCAATTTTTGGTTAATTTTTCTAGGCATAGGGAATGATTGTTGGCATTTTTCATGTGAATTGGTCCAGTTATTAATTGTAGTTCTCCATGTCTAGAAATTTGAGGCTGGCTGCTGTTATTCTTGTGTTGCTTTTAGATATCGTGTTATATGATGTAAATAAGAATTGACTGTACTCCACTAGTAGTTACTACTGAGTAACCGGGGATCTTCACCTAAAGTGTCGATTCTCGCGTCAAAAGGTAGTAGTTACTATGAGTGCGTGGTCCCGTAGCGATTGGAGCTGAGTAACCGGGCTCCTCCATCTGTCAAATGTTGGAGTTCGCGTCAAAAGGTTCTAAGGGCTATAGACTAAGTCTTTTGTTATTCAAAAAAAAAAAAGAGAAAAGGAAAAGAAACAAAAACAAAACAAAAAGAAAAAAATAAAATAAAGATTGTGTTAGTATGTGTATAAGTCAGCTTGCCTATTTGTGATCTTAATGTCGAGATTTTGGTTAATAGATGGACCATTTACTGATAAATATGAGCAACCATTCCTTTTTCTTAGATTAGTTTGCTTTAAAATTGGAGGAGTTGGTAGTTTAGATGCTAACCGGGGTTATTTTTCTTGGATCTTGACCTGTGTCGCTTGATATATGATTTTCTTGGTGTCTTGGCAATACGGTAGTTGGAGTAACCGCCATGGTCAAATTTGGGTGTTCAATTGTTGTTCCCATGCTTGAGGGCAAGCATGATTTAGGTGTGGGGGGAATTGATAGGGTGTTAATTGTTAGCAATTTTATTGTTAATTTCCCCTGTTATCCTTGCCAAATATTGTTTTAATTATTAATATTTACTTATATTTGGTATTGGACCCAATTTCAGGAGTGAAGCAGAAAATTACCAAAAAGGAGGGACTTGTATGGAAAAATGCAGATTTCTAAGGGCTTCAATCCTTGGGCCCTTGAATTGGTGGGGGACCACAAGCTAGTGAAAGGCATTTGGTCATTTGGGCTTCAAAGAAAGCAACGTAGAGAGACTTGGAACAAGAAGTACTTGGGAGGCTTTGTCCACATGTGTGGGGACCACCTAGATAGCTTTTAGTCATCTTTCTTTTGTTGCTTTAAAAGGGGGACAACGTACAGAAGCAAGAGATATCTAGGGCTTTAGTTTTAGTTTTTTAGTTTAGTTCTAGTTTTCTTTCTTTGGACTGGCCTCTGACACACGCCAGGTATTCGACAATATTCCCCAACGGGGAGAGTTTCTCATGAGGCGTGGTTAAGCTTTTCTAGTCAAGGGGACAACTGACGATTTGGTTCGACAATTACTGTGAGATCGAATCTGTTTTAATTATTTTCATATAGGCTATTTTTGCTAAATAGGGGTAATTGAATCCGTAATTGTTCGTTGGGGAATATTGTCGACGAAGACCGAGACGGTAACGACTCGGCCGAGTCTTCGAACCATGAGTGCAAGGCGTGTCCAAATGTTCCGATCAATAAGGGAAGATGAAGTCTTGAATATGATCAAATCAATCTCTTCACAAGAGGGATCAGTTATCAATCTTACAGCAAAGTTGTCTTCTCTGACATTTAGCATCATTAATCGGGCTGCTTTTAGTAAATGAAGCAAATACCATGATGAGTTCGTGTCACTTATGGACGATGTTGCGATATTTCTGTCAGGGTTCAATATCACGGACATGTACCCTTCTTTCAAGATTCTCGAAAGAATTACTCGAATTAGGCATAAACTGGAGAGGCTACACAAACAGATTGATGAAGTAGTTGAAAACATTCTCAATGAGCACAGAGTCAAAAGAGCAGAATCAACACCTGGTTATGGAGAAGCAAAGCAGGATCTAGTTGACGTTCTTCTAAATATCCAACAATCTGGGGAATTTGGAGTTCCACTTACTGACAATAACATCAAGGCAGTCATATTTGTAAGTGAGTCCTTTTTTCACCTCTGCAGACTCAAATCAAACATTTTCTTATAGGTTGTGTTTAGTTTTTAATAGGACCAGGAATAGTAGTGGAGCTAATATCGATCCTATAGAACACAGCTACTTTTCTTAGGATACATTTCAATTCCACTTCCAATTTAAATATAGCACCAAATGTAGCCATATGAATGATATCAATGAGTGCTACATTATAATCTGGTTCACTCTCCTATTTCCATCAACTAAACTTGAAGTTACTCATTCTGTCTAGGAAATGTACTTTGCCGGCGTGGAGACGTCGTCAACAACTATGGCGTGGGCAATGGCTGAAATGATTAAAAACCCAAGACTACTAAAAATATCCCAAAATGAAGTACGACAAATTTATGGTGAAATGGGCAATGTTGATGAGTCGCGATTGCATGAATTGAAATACTTGCAAGCAGTTATTAAAGAAGCTATGAGATTGCACCCTGCTGCTTCACTGTTACTTCCAAGGGAATGTAGTGAACAATGTGAAATCCAGGGATATGAAATCCCGGTCAAAACCAGAGTCTTTATCAATGCCTGGGCAATTGGTCGAGATCCAGACTATTGGACTGAACCTGAGAAATTCATTCCAGAGCGATTTCTTGATTCTGAAATCAATTTCAAGGGAAAAACTTTTAATTACATACCATTTGGAGCAGGAAGAAGGATGTGCCCTGGCATATCATTTGCTCTTCCTAACATCGAGCTACTTCTTGCTCAACTGCTCTACCACTTCGATTGGAAGCTCCCTGGTGACTTAGAACAAGAACAACTAGACATGACTGAGGTATTTGGCGTCACAGTCAGGCCAAAGCAGGATCTCCTCTTGATTCCCACTCCTTACCACCCTTCTTCTCTCTGAGAAATTTGTCATCCACCATGGTCTATGAATACTATGACTTTAAAAACTGTCTGAAAGTTAATCCAAAGTATTGCATATTATCACTGCAAATTATGTTTTGCACAAGCGAGTTAGATGCTTAACAAGTAGTACATTTGAATTTGTTTGATTTCTTATTCGCAGATGGATAAGATCAAAACTCACTAGAGTAAAAATATCACGGAACCATTGTGTATAATATCAATCTCCCACTAAAATGCATGGCTCCAGATTGTTTGCTAGTATAATTCCAATGCAATTTATCATGAAAGAAGACAAAGTTGACAATAGAGCTTCGTGTAAGGAAGATCAAGTGTCCATCATGGGGTCTCCATAAAATTTCCAGTTGTTGCTGTTTCAGCTTACTGCTGAGCTCCAATCAAAGTGACACGAAAATTGTGCAAACGATAGTCCCAGGACATATACTTTTACAGATCAGATTTTGTTGCTGCTTTAGTAGTACTAAATCTGGACTTCCAATCCAAAACTATTTTTGGAACGTAAGATGCAATTCAATGAATCTAAAAGATAAAATTAAAAAAGGTCACTTCAGTACAGTCATCCGAGAAAAGGATATTCCTAATGTCAGTAAGTGGTAATTGTGGTTGAGTAATGCATTGAACAAACCTCTAATTAGAATGTGGAAATTGTCAAGAAAGAGTCCATTGATGGATGAAGTAAACTTGTCTGATCAATGACGAGCAATAATTTATTTCCCATTTGAATATCGTCTGATCTAATGGAGTAGGCTCTTTCCAACTGTCAGTGTAAGAACTACATTTCAAGTCAATAAGCAAATGGCAATTGGTAACTGTTCTTTATTTCTTTCAAGTACTTTGGAATGTCAGAAGTTCTTTGGTTTTACTCTTATTTAAATCAGATCAGGGATATAAGAACTACAGATCCCGGCAAAGTAAATTAACTGATGCATCTCTGGATCAAATCATCATAAACAGTTCTTTGGTTGTAATTGTTCTTATCTAATAAGTCAAATTAAGAAAAGGATTAGCGGAAACAGAAGGGACAAAGTTGGCTTAAGACCCTCCAACCCCAATTGGCTCTAGATTAAAGAAATCTCGACATTCATGCATAAAAAATTGGTGTGGCATATTAATTTTTTACTGTATAACTGGACTTCAAATAGGCTTTCAAAAATCCAATGGTCGAACAAACATACAATTCTATTTTTTGATTCTTTGCTATGGTTCGTGTGGTAGTAGCAGTTTGCGACAAAGAGAATTTTAAACGTGTTCTTTTAGGTCGCGTTTAGTTTTATCATCAGAACAGGAATATTAATATGGATCCTCTAGGGCATAGCTACTTTTTCTTAAGATACAATTTCAATTCCACTTCCAATTGAATTGGAGCAGCAAATATACCTTTATGAGTGATATCAATGAGTAGTACCTGATAATTTCAATTAAAGTTTCAAAGAGTATGTATACCATGAATCAAAATACAATATCGGTACTACGAAGTCTTCATAAAAATACCATAAGTCTTAATAGCACCATTTTGGTACTCATATTTATGTCAGTACTGAATAAGAAACTTTAACATAAAATATAATAAGAGATGGAGTGCAAGGGTGGACAAAGAGCTTTAGGTTTGGGAGCTTTTTATTATAGTTAATTTAGTGAACTTTACAATGGATGTTCTTGTAGCTATTGCCAGTATTAAAATACAATCAATGAATATAATAATGGGTAATATTTGAGGTGATTATTGGTGCATTGGGTTGGACTCTCTTTAAAAGTAGCATGAGTTTGATGGTTAAGTGTGCAAACAAAACTTGATCCTTTTTTTTTTATTTCAATCAATGTCTATCATATTAATAGTTATAAAAATGAAAAATCCCTCTGAATTATGGTGAATTAAGCAAAAAAAAAAATGAAGAACAACTTTTATTTTAAAATATTCAAATTTAAATAGTACTTCAAACATGACCTAAAACATATTCAGCTAGCTCATTAGTTTGACTATCATATAGCAACAAACCTAATGGTTTACAATTTTGAATCATGAAGCTCTATAATGATAAAGCATGTCATCAACTAGAAATACAAATAGGTTTCACCAAATCAAAATATTTCTCCTCGAAGTTATGCTATTTGGGCAATCAAAACTTAGGCAATGAGATTTCAATACAATTGAAATAGTGTCATAACTCAAATGACACTATGGATCGTCTTCAATCCATCATTAACAGTAGAAAATGGGGAAAAAAATATCACTAAAAGTAAAACCAAGGAATGGCGTTGAGGAACAAGAAATTAATCAAATTTTGAAAAATTCAACTCAAGTGACGAAGAAAAGAACATTTAGATTGATAGAATGGTTATTTGGCGTATTTTGCACTGCTATTCTGTCCTAATTTTGGCTATTCACGGTACTAAGAATTGGAATTTCACTCATATTCGATATTTGTGGGAATTGTAGGTGGTAGGCATGAAAAATGATCTCGCAGGGTGAATTTCCAGAAGACTTCCCGTTCCAAGGCGTGGCCACGCCTTAGAAGGTGGACGAAACCGAAAGACGGACCGTGGTCCATGTGGACCAGGCGCATGGGATCAAAACTCCAAAAGGGAAATAGCTTTTGTTAAATCAACTGGGCCAGACGTTGCTTCCAAAAGAAAAAAAACCTCCTGCGGCGGCTATAAAGAGATAGGAAAAAGCAAGATTCAAGAATCATCTGTTTTGGAGGCTTAGTTTTCTTTTCCTACGTTTCTTGGCGGTCAGACGCTTTTTCTCTTCTTTCGCTTTCCGTCAGCCGCAATTGGATTTTTAGCTTTAAATCTCCTTTTGTTCTTTTTTCGGGAAAAGACGTAACTTCCTCTCCTTTAGCTTTTGTCTTGTACGGATTTGACTCCTGGGTTGTAACCCTTGTTTTGAGACAATTCGCGTTGGTTTTTTGGCTTTGCGATTACGGTCCTAGAACGAATGCAAAAGCAGGGTCTTCTCCGTTGTTGCCGCAATTAATTCCTTTCCCCAATTCTTCGTCAAATAATTGAATGAATTCAATTAAATCACGCGGGATTGACACGATGAGGAGCGGCTAATTTCCCCCTCTACCCAAAGGTTGACGCGAAGGCGCGGTCCATAATATCTGTGAGATCTAACCGAATCTTCATTATTTCCTCTAATTAATTGCTATTCGTGCGTTTCCTGAATTAATTGTTCATGGGTATTTGATTAATTGAATATCAACGGCCGGGTATTTGATTTAATTTAATAGCCTACTGCCACGTTAATTAAATAGAATCCGTAATTGTTCATTTAGTTAACACCCCGTGGCAACCACCATAATTGGTTTTATGATGGGGAAACGCAAGATCTAATTTAAATAAACCCTCTTAGCGTGTTTATTGGTTAGGGTTGGGTTCTTCTGGCTTTAATGCAATTGGGTAATTAAATTCCTACGGTCGTACCTAGGGTTGTTATCTGGTTAGAGAAGCAGTCAATGGTCGTACCTTGACTGTCGAAAAAGTAAGGAAGAGCTGGTTGTCAGAGCTTATTGATGGCTATAACCAACCTAGTGATAAATGGGTGAAATATCTTTGCATCGATGAGCATTTAATTGGACCGTGCCTGAGCAGTTGATCCTTTGGGTAGAACTTTTGTTAATTGCTATTTTCAGTGAATTGTACTTTGTGAGTTAGTTTTGAGTTTTGTTTGTTTTATTTTATTTTATTTGTGTGCCTCCCATTGAAAATCCCCCAATTCTGTTCTACTGACTTGGAAAGAAATAATTTCCTACCTGCTCCCTGTGGATTCGACCCTACTCACCGCTATATACAAAAATCTGTATTTTTCTCGAGTAGGTATTTATTATTGCACAGGTTCGGCACCTGTCAATTTTTGGCGCCGTTGCCGGGGGAGTTGGCGTTTGGATTATTTGTTTCTTTTTAAATTCAGTTTTTATTTTATTTTATTCTTCTTGGTATTTTTGCTAGTTTATGTCCCGTTCTTCTCGCACAGGTGAATTGGTATACGATCCTGAGGTAGAGAAGGCAGCGCGTAGGCGAAGGCAAGAGACCAAGAGGCAAAAAGAAGGGCACTTATTTGCTGCAAACGAGTCAGCGGAAGACGAAGTAAGCATGGCCAACAACCAAACATTGAGGGAGCTGGCTGCCCCGGAGCTGACTCACCAGCCCTTATGCATCACATTCCCCGCTTTGGCTGAGAATACCGCTTTCGAACTGAAGTCGGGATTAATTCAACTCTTACCCTCGTTCCATGGTCTTTCTGGCGAAGAACCCCACAAGCACGTAAAGGAGTTCGAGGTGGTCTGCTCTAGTATGAAACCTCCTGGGGTCACTGAAGAGCAAATTAGACTGAGAGCCTTCCCGTTCTCTCTAAAAGATGCAGCTAAAGATTGGCTGTACTACCTACCAGCAGGTAGTATTACCACATGGGCGCAGCTGAAAAAGAAATTCTTGGAAAAATTCTTCCCTGCATCCCGGGCTGCGAGTTTGAGGAAGGAGATCTGCGGCATTAAACAATACCCCGGTGAGTCCTTGTACGACTACTGGGAAAGGTTTAACAAGTTGTGCACTCGATGTCCGCAGCATCAAATTAGTGAGCAACTGTTAATCCAATACTTCTACGAAGGGCTCCAATCAACCGATAGAAGTATCATCGACGCTGCAAGTGGGGGAGCACTGGCAAACAAGACACCAAGGGAAGCGTGGGAGCTCATCGAAGCCATGGCAGAGAACTCCCAGCAATTTGGCTTCCGTGAGAGCAACCCTCCCCGTAGAGTCAACGAGGTAGAGATTTCATCCTTACAGCAGCAAATGTCAGAATTGACGTCAGTTGTTAGGCAATTAGCTATGAGAGACACGCCGCGAGCGAAGGTGTGTGGAATATGCACAAGCATGGACCACCTCACTGACTCATGCCCTATGTTGCAAGAGGATGGAGCTGAACAAGTGAACATGGCTGGAGGCGTGCCCGCGCCTCAAAGACCGTACGACCCATAC